ACAGCAGTTTATAATGTTTTAGGAAATGATTACTATTGGCCGGATATTAAGGATCATATAAAAAAGAAGACTAGAAATTCTGAGACTAGCCAAAAATACAATAAGAAAACTAGAGGGTGGATGAAACTTTAAAGTACGACTAGATACTTGAAAAAAATTAAGTTTGATTTAATAGAGTTTAAAGAAGAAGAATACTTTATGCTGGTAATCGTTAATTATTTTACCAGAAGAATGTGAGATTGGCCATTAAGAAGCAAAAGCGCTCAGGGTAAAGTGGAATTTATAAAAGATTTATATAGATAAGGGAAAAAATCCGAGACAATAGTAACAGATAACGGTAAAGAATTTCAAAATGATCTACTAAGAAAATTGTATTGTAATTTAAATGATGTAGATTCATTGTAAAGTAAGCGTTGAATTCTACACAAGCGAGCGGTAAAGTTTAGAAGATTATTAGAACAATCAGAGAAAGTATATTAAAAAGCAATAAGAAAAGATTTATTGACAAATTAGCAGAATTTATAGAAAAGTATAATACAAGAAATTACATTGAAATTGGATGCGCATCATTAGAAGCAGTAAATGATAAATTATGAAAGGTAATAATATAGAATAGTTTTGAAGAGAATTATCCCAATGAATTTAAGAACCGTTTTCGCGAGAAACTTGAGAAAAATGGGTAGGTGAGAATTGCTAAAAGTGAAAATTTGCTTAAGTGTAGCAGGTATACTAAAGGAAGGGTTATAGACAAAAGGAAAATTGTTGAGACATATCCTGGAGATTAGTATATAGTAAGATTAAAGAATGAAAAACTGATGAAGAAAAGGCATTATGATCTGAAAGCTATAAGAAAAAGGTAGGGAGATATAAGCCTAATTGCTTGGTTCGGGATGTTATATATTGTTATAAAATTTAACCTCAATAACACGGGTTCTTACATACAGTATAATTAATTTTTTTAAATTTTTATCCTTAAATTTATTGATGAGACAAAAAGAAAAAGATCTAATAATTATAGCAGATGAAAACGAAATTTGACTTTATTGTTTGTATAGAATTTAATTAGAGATAAAAAGATCTGTAAGTTTGTTAATGTATGCTCCTCATGTCAAAATTCAAAATTTCTGATAAGTTTGAATTGAGATCGTGCTTTTATGGTTGTCATTACTATCGAACAATTATCTCTTTGCAGTTCAATTCTTGGCTTTTTTCTTTTAAAAATGAAATTAAAACAATACTAAAAGCAAATTTATACTATGTGTATGGTGATAACTATTCTAAAATTATTGAACATCCGGGTATTGAGAAAACTCCTAAAGGAGCTGTAAAAATTTTAATGAATGAATTGCTTTATTTTTCACTGAAAATCATATTAAACTAAAATTTGTTTATATTATTGGGCATATATAGATGAAATCAAGTTGAATTATGATGTTAATGGTCATAGAGGTAGAATCTTGTAATATGGGCTTAAAATGTAAATATAAGCAAGAAATGGAGTAATTAGAGCTTAAAGAAAGGCAATTTTTATTAGAATTAATCTTTAGAGAGCAGCTGCTGATGAAAATTTTTATTATTTATTAAATTATTAAAATTGTTTATTTTAACAGGGGACTGAGAGGACCTGATCCTGTAAAAATGCTTAATTTGGTGAGAAATATTATTCTATTAAGACCAAATCTTTTATAATTATTATTTATTTTTAAAACTTGTTTCTTTATTTTCATGTTAAATGTTATTAAATTATCGATAATTTATGACAAGTATAAGAATCTGACGTATTTGTAGAATATCAAACCCCCGTTTGTTAACAATTCTAAAAATTTTATATATAAGCCCCATTTTTCCTATGTAAAGTTATTTAGATTTTTAAAACTAATATTGTATGAAGTTTTATTTAGTTTATTCGCTACGCTGTTTGAAGTAAAAAATAAATTTAATTATTTTAGAAATATAAAAAAAAATAAATTTTTATTTTGGATAAATTCTAATACCGTAGAATTATATATTTTTAACTTTCGAATCTTTTTTACGTATAAATTGTAAAGATTGACACACGGGTTAAGCCCTTTGCGGTTTTTAATTACTAAGGAAAAGTTTTTGCATAAAGCATTATGCATGTTTTAGGCATCCAAAATATTATTTTATTGTAAATTTTACTACAAAACAAATAAATTATTAAAAAGAATAAATGCAGTGACCAACTATGTTATAAAATAATACTAAAAACATTTAAAAACGGTAATATTTATTCATTTTTTTTAAAATCATCCCTTAATTTTTTTAGTCTACCGTAAAATGAATTAAATCTTCTGTCAATATAAAATAGGAACCTCTTAACTTCATAAAAATCACAACCAGAAACCTTACAAAAAACGCTATCATCAACCTTATGTATATTTTTACAAATCAATTTAAAAATTAAAAGTTTTTGAGACACGCCTGTATACTTGCTAAATTGATAACATGCTAGATTTAATGAATTTAAAAAATCTTCCTTATTTTTCTTTTTTACCATATTAATTCTAATTGCACTTATCGTATCTAAAAAACTTGAAAGATTTCTCAGAGCAGATATTGATTTTTGTTTCAAGCTATCAGAAAGATTAGATATTTCAAGTTTCTTAATAAATTGCGGCATTCGATTTTTAAATTTAATTTTATAAAAATTTCTAAAACTCTTTTCAGATTGCTTGTATTTTTTATAAAGTGTAATCTCGTTATCTACAAAAATATCAGCAAAAAATGCCCTTCTCCGTTTGCTTTTATTATCGGATTTTTGTTCATTTTTAATGTTATCTGTTTTTGATTTTTTCTTTTTAACTTTTACGTTATTATTATTTTTGTTAGCATTAATGCTAGATTTACTATTTTCTGGTTCTTTAATTGATGAATAAATAACATTAGATAGTGTATCAATTTGTGCATTATCTGGTTTATTAATACAATTAGTCTTTTCGAGGTAATTTTGATGGTCTGATAAAACAATAACATTATCATTTGTCTGGAAAAAAGTATTATCTTTTGTATTAATATCTTGCCCCTGTAATAAACAATTTTGAGTTGAATGTAATGATAGATTAGTATTATTTTTGCAAAATTCATTTTTATTAAAATGTTCTGCTTTAGCTTTTCGGCTACCATTGCCATCTTCTAAATTTGTTATGTCATTAATCGATTTATTTATTGTACAAAATTGTTTGTTAAATTTATTAGTAATAAATTGATTACTTGTGCTACTTTTTGACGTTGAATTACTATCTGAAGTCGTTGACAACATTTTATCACTTAAATAATAATCAACATTCTTATATCCATTATCAAAACATTCGTCTATAAAATTTGTCAGATCATCTAATATATTAGAATTAGATTGGTTTTCAAAAAAAAATTCTTCTTCAGCTTTTGTCAGCTCATGATTCTTTTGTTTTATCTCTTCATTCACATATAATCCTTTATTCTCAAGTTCTTTTGTGTAGTAATCTGATTTATTTTCTAGATCTACAAATAAATCAAAATCTAATATTCCCATTGAACAAAAAATTGTCTGCAACCATAATAACATTTAACGGCTTAAAAAACTTTAAAAATTTATCATATTTATAATTAAAATATTTAGTTTTTTTTGCTATTTATGCAACACATTTTTTATTATGTCGTAGCCAACTATGAAAAAAAAGTTATATTTATAAAAAATATAAATTAAATTTTTATAAAAAATATAAATTAATTTTTTTAAAAAATTTTACATTATGAATAGAAAAATTTTACAGTGAAAAAACGATCACAAATTGTAAAAATTTTGATAAATAAACATATACTCTATAATAGTGATGATTACTGGTTCAGAACCATGCTTATTTTGATTGACAACGTTATACAAACTGAACTGTAATAAAGCTTTAATAAAAATTATATTGTTGTCATGAACAACTAGCACATGATCACATTCTTAATTTGTTTTTTTATGTCTATTCTGTTTACATAACCCTTTTTCTAAAAGAAATATTTCCTTTTCTATTTGAATCCTATACATTTAGTTTCAGCACCTTCATCTAGTAATTGTTTATTTATTTGTTTATTTATTTAAATCTATTTATAAATAAAAATACATTTTTAGCTGGAATGCTAAGGATGAAAGAATACGAAGCAATATGAACTCAGACAGACACAATTCAAATCAATAATTTTATGTTAAAAATTACAAAGCCTAACAAGCAAAAAATATTCAATTCTCAAAAGCATAATTCATTAATTTTTATTTTTTCTCTTTACCAGTTTATTTACTAGAGCTTGTATTATATCTTTCAATTAATTATCAACATTTAAGTTTTTTATAAACTCTTCATTTCAATACTAAAGCTTCTATATTCATCCCATTAGAAACTCTTAATTTAAATATTTTTATACTTAATATTTAATTGTGTATATTAATTCTGTTAGAATGTAGTATTCTTTGTCTTTTATAACTTTTATTTTTAAAAAAGTTAAAATTCAAGAATTTGTCTTTATGTATTATTTTATTTGTAAAACGCTTTTTAATTGTTTTGGTCATTATTTGCGAAAGTTTAGCTATTGTAAAAGAGTACATAGCATACCTTATGCATGTCTTATAAAAGGTGATTTACTATAAAATGTCCATGTGACGTTTACAAACTTAGTTGTAACTAATAATAATTTAATAAACCTGTTATATTCTATATAAAATATAAATCTATAATTTTATGAATTTGCTAAATATTATGTAAAGCTAGACAAGTTTGGGTCTAAATAATACTCAAAATATAATATTCAAGCAATTTTCATCAATTTATCCTAACCCTCTCAGAGTGGTTATCATTTATAACAAAGCAATTTTATAAACGTTGGCATGTCATTCGAAAAAGCTGTCAAATACTAGAAATATTAACAGTTTTACTTGACATTATTAGCAACAAAGGACTAATCTATTTGTATTTACAGTTGTCGAAATTCGTCTGCAGACATTTTATACAGTATTTGTTCTTTGTCATAGCATTAAAGAGTTTAGCCAAAACTTTTACAAACATGCTTGATTATGGGCACTTTGTACTGGTCAAAATTGAAATTAACAATATTTTGTTAATTTCTTAACTAAATTCTATAACTGTGATTTTTGAGGGTTGTGTGTTTTCAAAATTGTGTCGTAAAATAATACAAGCATAGAACTTACAAATATACGGCGTGTGTTATAGTTAAATCTTTTTATTCATATTTAAAGAACAATCTTTTGGATATATGGTTATAAATATTTTATGTGTTTTAGATCTTCGATTTATATTTCTTAGTTAAAATTTTATATGGTTAAAAAAATTCCTAATTTAGTTTTAACACAAATGCTATAAAAAATCTTTATATAATTATATTTTTTTTGTTGATAGGCTGGTTAAAACATAAAACGGATTGTTATATTAATTTTTTTAATTTTTTAACCATAAATTAATGAGAGAAACAGAATAAGATTTAATTTTTGCAGCAGATGAAAACAAAATTTTAACTGCATTTTTTGGTGAAAATTTAATTAAAGATGAGCAGATGTGTGAGCTTTGTTATAAAAATATGCGCCTCATGCAAAATTTTAAATTTCTGATAAGTTCGAATCAAGATCCTGCTTTTGCGGTTGTCAGCACTACCAGAGGACTATCTCTCTGCGATCCAATTTTTGGCTCTTCTCTTTTAAGCTGGTATTAAAACAATACTAAAAACAACCTATTACTACGCGTATGGTGATAATTATTTTAAAACCATTGAACATTCAGGCATTGAGAAAACTAATAAAGATGCTTAAAAATTATAACGAACGAATTGTAACATTTTTCATAAATAATCCTATAAATCTGAAATGTTCTTATATTTTTGGTCAGATAGATAAAACCAAGTTGAATTATAATGTTAATTATCATAGAGGCAAATCCGTACAAGCCTGTTGGTGTTTCTGCATCGTAGCTAATTATAAAACTACATCGGGTTATGTGCTATTGTAGAATCTAGATCTGCAGGCGTTCTTATTCCTATAATAAGTTCTATTGTTAAAGCCGGAAGTATTATACACACCGGGGAATGAAAAGCTTATAGAAGTTTATCTAACTTAGGTTATATGACTATTACACCATTTGTCATAAAAATAATTTTGTAGAGCTTATTTCTGGCGTTCATACTCAGCACAAAGAATCTTATGATAACAAGCTTAAGGTTTAAATATAAGCAAGAAAGAGATTAACTTAAGCTTAAGGAAAGAAGTTTTTTAATAGAATTTCTGTTTATATAGCGGCATACTACAGAAAAACTTTTTATCTTTTATAAAATTATTAAAATTGTTTTTTTTAACAGGGGGACTGAGAGAACCGGATTCTGTAAAGCTACTAAACTTGGTGTAAAAATAATACTCTATTAAGACCAAATCTTTTATAATTATTATTTATTATTTATATTAAAAGCCCTCTTCTTTGTTTTCACATTAAATGTAAAAAAATTTATCAATACTTTATGACAAGTATAAAAATCTAACGTATTTGTAGAATATCAAAACCCGTTTGTAAAAAATTCCAATGAATTTATATTTGTGTCCCTTTTTGCACTATAAAAGGTTGTATATTTTTTTAAAATTAATATTGTGTAAAGATTTATTTTATCTACTCGCTACGCTGCTAGAGGTAAAAAATAACACTTATTATTTTAAAAATATAAAAAAATGAATTTTTCATTACGGATAAATATTAATACCGCAGAATTATATATTTCCAGCTTTCGAATCTTTTTTACGTATAAATTGAAAAGATTGATACATGGCTTTAGCTTTTTACACGTTTTAATTACTTAAATATAATTAATTCTTACATGTATTATCGATATTTTAAATATAAAAAATATTTAATTATTTTTAATTTTACTACAAAAAAAATAAATTACTAAAAAGAATAGATGTAATGAGCAATTATGTTAATAAATAATACAAATAGCCTTTGAAAAATTTTAATGTTGATCATTTTTTTTAAAATCATCCCTTAATTTTTTTAGTCTACTATAAAATAAATTAAATCTTCTTTCAACAGAAAATATTAACCTGTTAACTTCATAAAAATTACAATAAGAATTAAAACAAAAACCGCTATCATAAACCCTATGTAAATTTTTACAAATAAATTTAAAAATTAAAAGTTTCTGAGATACGTCTGGATACCTGCTAAATTGATTAAATGCTAGATTTAATGAATTTAAAAAATCTTCCTTATTTTTAGTTTTCCACGTACTAATTCTAATTGCATTTATAGTATCTAAAAAACTTGAAAGATTTCTTAGAGCAAGAATTGATTCTTGTTTCAGGTCATCAGAAAGATATGATATTTCAAGTTTCTTAATATGTTGGGGCATTCGATTTTTAATTTTAAGTTTAAAAAACTCTCTAAAGTTCTTTTCAGATTTCTTGTATTTCTTATAAAGTTCGCGCGCGCTCGCTGTAAATTGACTTTTTAGAGTTGTTCTATTAGTCTTTATTTTTCTTTTAGATTTCAAAGCCTTTTCATTACCATTTATTTCAATATTAGATACTTTGTTGGTTTTTAATTTTTTCCTTTTATCTTTTACGTTTTTATCATTTCTGTAAGCATTATTAAAAGAAGAACTACTTTCGGGGTTATTAATCGTAGACGAAACACCAACATTAAATGAAGCATCTGTATGAACAGCACTTGGTAAATTTATACTATTATTCTCTAAATGGTAAGTTTGATAGTTTGATGAAATCAAATCATAATAATTTTTTTCTGAAAAAGTGTTACTTTCCGAATTAACATATTGCTCTTGTATTAAATTATTTTGATTTTTTTGTAATAGTAAATTAGTATCATCATTCAAAGATGTATTAATGTAAGAGTGTTCCGCTGTATCATTTTCATTACTGTTTGGAATTTTAAGACGTGCTGCGTCGTTTCTTGGTTCTTGTAACACACAACATTGGTTTTTACATACATTAGTAATAGATGTACTTCTTGTGCAACTGGATGGCACCAAACTGTTCTCTGCAGTGATTGATGACGAAAAATCAAACAAATCATAATCAACCTTTTTATAACTACTATTTAAACTTTCTTCTATGAAATCTGTACAATCTGTTAATAAATTATAACTAAATTGATTTTTATCTGCAAATTCATCTTCTATTTCAGTCGTTTCTTGGCTCTTTTGTTGCATCTCTTCATTTTCACATAATTCTTTATTCTCAAATGCTTTTAAGTAGTTTGATGAATTTTCTAGATCTACTAAAAAATTAAAATCTAATATTGGAGTTGAACAAAAAACTACCTGTAACCAAAATAACATTTAACGGCATAAATATTTTTAAAATTTATCTAAATTTACAAGTATAATAACATTTTGTATTAAATTAAGATATGATATAATGGACTCAATATGTCAAATCTAACTTTAATCAATAAATTAATTACCACAAAAAAAATTAATTAAACTAATTAAAAATTTGATAATGATAAAGAGAAAATTCTGAGTAAAATATTTTACAATGAAAGATATAATGGCATAAATGTGAAAAAAATAATTAATTAATTAAAATTAATTTCACAGAAATAGAATCTAGGTTGAAACGATGTTCGTTTTAGGTGTAACGTATTACAAACGCAGCTTTAAGAAAAATGCTTCTTAATAAAATTTATATTTTACTGATAACATAAATTCTTAATATTTTTTCCTTTAATTAATTGTGATAGATTAAAAATAATATTCTCAAGGCCGATTGTATTGTATGATAAATTAAAGGAGAAGGAATTTTTATTAAATAACTTTTCTTTTTACTCTGTAAAGAATAATGCACAATTCAGAAGATTAAAAAATATTTAAATATTTTATTGGAAGTACAATAACATGTTGATGTCTCGATATCAATATATGAAGAGATATTTGACTAAAATTAATATATATTTATTTTTTTAAATATTCCCATATTTTTCAATAACGACTCTTTTAACAATGTCGGAGACATCCGGAAAGGAATTAAATTTTAGGTAATATTCAGTTAGATTACCAAGGTTAAAAACCTTTTTATAAAAATGTTTATTTGATTCCATTTTTTTTCAATTTTTTCTTATTTATATTTTAGGTTTCAGATGTGTTACAAACATCTTTACTTAGACCAATAATACTTAAGATTTTCTAAATTATATGTTTTATAGAAAAATTATTGTTTACGATGAAACCAATAAATTTAATACGTTATGACTATCCATAACAAACAACAACATAGTTTTTTCTATTATAATTTTCTAAAACGCTACAATCTTGGTTTAATGTACAATTTTGATTCAAGACAAATATAAATAATTTTTATGTAGTAAAAAATGATTAAATAATATTTTTTTTTAAATTGATAGCATTTTTATACTTAAGTCTATTTAAGCCGATTTTTTATGATATATTTGTTATTATAAAAGATAATTTCGTGTTTTGTTGATGAGTGATAATACGACTTAGAATTATGTAACTTTTACTATTCTTCATCTTTGAAAACCTTCTAGGCAGTAATCGTTTAAATAGTTTTATAAAAAATTAAGCGAACAAATAAGAGAAACATAAGATTGACTAAAATGAATAGTTTGGTTATTTTAAAAAAGTAATATAAAGTCTTTCTTTTGTTTTTTTTTGAACAAACAAACTGTAATAATTAAACAAACAACGTACTTGTGTGTTTGATTATCACAGAGATAAATATAAGCAATAAAAAAATACGTAAAAATTTTTGTTCTACTATTAAAATGCAAAAGAATTTTTTGTTTTTTAATTAATGAATTTATTTAACATATATAATTTTAATAAATAATTATTTCTTGGAATATGTGTCAAATTTTTAAGGATAAAAAAAAAGTTTAATAACAAGCTTAATTACTAATAGTTGCAACAAATTGTCAATAATGCTTTACTATATTAATCTATCAAGTGAAAAGGAAATGAATTGTATGTGAGAAAAAATTAAAAAAACATAAATACTAGGTCTTTTTAAAAAATATTTAAAGAACGTATTTATCGTACTTAAAATTTTAAATAAATATTTAAAATTTAAAACTACTCATTGCAAAAAAATTTTATTATTTAAATATCGAATTATTGCGAGAAAAATCTTCATTAAATTACAAGCAAAATTTGAACACATTTTTTTTATTAATAATTGTTTTAAGTTGTATTTGGTATTAAATAAGAATATCTTTGACAAAGATTTATTAAGTTTTCATACTAAATACGTAAAAATTAAAACAATTTGATTTGTGCTAATATAATTTTCACTATTGTTAATTCTTATAAATTAAGCAGAAATCAATTCTAAAAGGAAGACATAAAAAGAAATATTATTGATTGCAATTTAGCTTTGTAAAAAATTTAAAATTGAAACATTTTTTAATCAGTAACTTACAACGTACTAGCAGACATTATTAGTAAATTATAAAAAAACAAATTGTAAATTATTATTTTGTAAAAAATATATATATGTTGTGCATTTTAATAGTTTTTATATTAAACGTCTTTAAAAAAAAATTAAATTATTAATTTAGATTTTTAGGCGTTCTGCAAATAAATGAGACCTGTCCTAAATTAAACTCTAATGAGCTTAGGAATTTATCATCGCTGTCCCCTTTTCCTTGGTTTTAGAATAACTTATATTTTTATTTAATAATTTATTATGGTTTTTATTTATAAAAGGCATGGTTTAAAATTCAAAATTATCTTTATAGTAAATTTTTTAAGTAAAATTAAAATTTAATTGTAATACCACAGTTTTATTTTTCATTTAGAAAATTAAGACTCTATCAGGATTCACTAGGCTTAGAGATGCAAACCTCTCTTTACCACCATCTACTAGATCAATATCTCCTAAAAAACATTTAAAAATTTCTTTTTAATTTTTGTTTGTAATTTAAATATATTCCTGCTAAGATTTTAATTTCTTAGTTATTTTAACAATTTCTTTTCATTTAACCTTCTAAAAACAAGAGTTAAGTTTTTTAAAAAAACCGTAACCTTTTTTTTTATTATGAATAGCACTTCAATTATGCTTTTTTGTACGCATTTTCAATTATTTTACAAATCCCGAAATTAACGCTTAATGTTAAAATATTGAATAAAAGCTAAAATTCTTAATCACAGTGAACATTTCTTACAAGTCATTAAATTTATATATAAATAATTTTGACAACCTGAGTTTAAACTAAAAAAAGTTAAATGTTTTTCAAAAAAACGCATTAAAAAAATTCATATTTAGTTTTTGATTATATCTAGCATGTCTTATTTAATTTCCAAATTTTAATTTTTTAAATATTTTTTACCCCCTTTAAATTAAAAATAGATTTTGCTTTTATAATGAATCTTAGTTATTGATATGGGTTTGAATCCTAGGGATGGGAATTTGTTGTGTAACAATAACTCGGCGTTGATACAATAATTGTGACGTAGCCATACTGGTAAAAGGTCTCTAGTATGTTGTCAATAGTTTTTTTTATCAATAGTTTTATTTAAATTGCGCTACCGTTCTTCTGTTTGGCTGGATTTTTTGTAATTCATTGTTCTCTAAGCTCTTTTTATTATATATAGGGGTACTTTTTATATTTATAGCTCTAATTGTTAGTCAACAAACAAAAACTAATTAAATATACAAATAACAAATTAAAATATAAACATTGATTACCAATTATGATACAAACAATCCTAATAATGTTGAATATACATATTAAGATTGCTAGTTAGTCTTTTTATTTGTTTGTTTGTCTTGTGGGATACCACAAATTAATATAAGAATATTTGTCAGTTAAGTTCTAACGTAATATTCTCTGTAGGTGTAGATTAAGAATTGTAAGTGTCTTAAAAGATGTAGATAAAAGCAGAGCATCTTTTGTTAGGCACAGCAAGTGCAGTAGCTGTGGAAGTATTTGTTGGTCCTATTTGGAGACCTATAGTAAGAAATTATACCTGAATTGCCCGGGAAGGGCGTAGCAGGTCAGTAAAGCTCTTTTAGTTCGTGTGAGATGGTGAGAGTTAGTCATGCTCATTTTACTCATACTGCCTTTGCACGTACAAGTTTAGTGAAACGTTGGTCTAGTAGCGTACTACTAGTTGTCGGCCCCTATAATATTCTTACAGAAATTTAAAATATCTTCCTACTAAGCGAGGCTTTTGAAGTATGCAAGCGTTGATAATACGCTTTTGTTAGATAAAGGAACAGGGTGTTTTTAGAGAAGGAGATTAGGCAATAAAAAATAAACAAAAGGCACAAAATATTAAGCTGTAGATTTAATAATTATTAATAAATTTGATGTTTGTGTAATTTGGAAAAAAATGTGTGTGCTTTAAAAAATAATCTGACAAATTGACACCTTTTTAATAAGAATTTATCAATAAACAGTAAAATTATTATATTATTATATCACATTTTCTAATTTGATCATAAATGCTTAATTAATAGTAAATTTAAATTTTTACTTTTATTAAATATAGTTTATTAGTCATTCATTAAAACTAAAAAATTTTTGTTTTGCTTAAATTTATTAAAAACTCTTAAATACTTTTGCTTATCAAAGCTTATCGTAATATGTAAAAATTATAAAGAGGAAAAAATTGCATGTTTAACTTATAATTGTCGTAAACATACAGCTGAGATATTTGTAAAAAAAAAATATAAAAGTTTATTGTAAAAAAAAATAAAAAGTTTATTGTTAAAAAATAAAAATCAGCAACAGAAGAAAAACCACCAGGCCACCAAAAACTCCACTGTAAAAACAAAACATCAATATTGCGCTTACACGCCAGCATACCTTTACGGCCTTGCTTATAGGAGAAAAGAGCGTTCCCTTAGGATACAGAATCCTCGGTCTACTTAAAGACCA